ATATAGCATAAGTTGCTACAATGATATCCGAAGGTAACCCTAGCAATAAATGATCAAGTGAAAGAAAACCGAGTTTGCCACTTTGAAGTCAAATGAAGATTGCATCAACTTGCATGTATTCATAAGAACATCATTTGCACAATAGACAATGCATTACATTGATACATTTCATTGCATTCAAACATGAAGTTTTACAGGTTTTCGTATAAAAAAGAAGATTCATGATGAAAAAATACCTTACAAAAAGAAGGTAGAATTCAAAAACTCAAATACAGGAATCACGCAAACATATGAAGAATAGATGGACGCAATCCACAGAAGAAGTATTATTTTGGGGCATGTTACCCAATCAACAAATTATTTCAATGAGAAAACAATTTCCAAAGTTTCTCATTTAATCTTTTCTGAAAATGAAATTGTTGAATATTAAGAAAACGATTTCCATAGTTTCTTACTTAGTAAACTATTTCCCACATCTGTAAGTCATTCAGTGCATGATGTTTTCAAAACCTTCGGGTCATCTGTAAGCCCTTCAGTGCATGATGTTTTCAAAACCTTCAGGTCATCTGTAAGCCCTTCGGTGCATGATGTTTTCAAAACCTTCGGGTCATCTGTAAGCCCTTCAGTGCATGATGTTTTTAAAAACTTCGGGTCATCTGTAAGCCCTTCAGTGCATGATGTTTTCAAAACCTTCAGGTTATCTGTAAGCCCTTCTGTGCATGATATTTTCAAAACCTTCGGGTCATCTGTAAGCCCTTCAGTGTATGATGTTTTCAAAACCTTCGGGTCATCTGTAAGCCCTTCAGTGCATGATGTTTTTAAAACCTTCGGTCATCTGTAAGCCCTTCAGTGCATGATATTTTTAAAACCTTCGGGTCATCTGTAAGCCCTTCAGTGCATGATGTTTTCAAAACCTTCGGGTAATCTGTAAGCCCTTCAGTGCATGATGTTTTCAAAACCTTCGGGTCATCTGTAATCCCTTCAGTGCATGATGTTTTCAAAACCTTCGGGTCATCTGTAAGCCCTTCAGTGCATGATGTTTTCAAAACCTTCGGGTCATCTGTAAGCCCTTCAGTGCATGATGTTTTCAAAAACCTTTGGGTCATCTGTAAGCCCTTCAGTGCATGATGTTTTCAACATTTCCATCCTACTCAAAAGAAGCCAAATGAAAAGTTATTGCCTTTTTTGTCTTTGCTCTATTCTTGTTAACACAAGAATGAGCAAAGAGGGGCAGTTGTAGACACTAATTTTTCAGTTTACTTTTATTATTATTATTATTATTATTATACATTATTATTATTTATTATTATTATTATTAAATAAATATTACAAGGCCTAAAACCCGGAGCCCAATTACAAACGGATCCAGACCCAACTTGAACCGGCCCAAATGCCCTAACTAAACCCTAAAACCAGATTAGGGTTTCCATCTCATCCCAGCCGCCAGACAATCTCAGCCGTTGGATCTGGCAAGATCCAACGGTCCAGAAGCTTCCAGATGAAAACCCTAGGGTATCATAACCCTAGGGCCACGCGGCCACCACCGCTGCTTCCATAACATCCACAGCCGTCACGCCTCTGCCAGGTGGTCCAACACCCCACTGCCGACGCCTCCACCTCCATTGCCGATACTCCTTTGCCACGCTACACTCGAAGAAGCCTCCAGTAGAGCCAGCTGCTCGCCACACGTCGCAGTTATGGGATGAGTCACCACATATTTCAGTGACTCACCAAGACTTCTACCCTTTAACCGGTCCGAGAAGAACACCGTGGTGGCTATAAAAGTCACCACCCCCTGCGAAAGAAAAACCAGAGAAAAAGAAAGGAGAAAGAACCACAACAACCAACAGAGAAGAACGACGACATACATAAGGCAGAACAAAACCAATAGAAAGCAGAAAGAACCACCAACAAGCAACCAACGACAAACATCAACAACAGAAAGGAAAAACAGAGGAGATAAGAGACTTACCGAGAAAACTAAGCGATCGTCAGAGCTTGACCGCGAAGTTGAAAAACCGAAATATCTAAGGTAAATAACCTTAGATCTACGTTGATCTAAGGGGATTTAGGAAAAAAAGAGGTCAGATTTGGCCTTTAGAGGTTGAATCTCTAGTTTAGGTAAGTTTGGGATTTTTCGGCCACCGAAGTTTGTGGCCGGCGGCGGAGTTGGCGGTGGTCGGTCGGAGATCATTTCTCGCCGGTGACAGAAATTTAGAGAGAGGGAGAGAGAATTTTTCATATCTCTTTTTAAGAGAGAGAATGAAAAAAAAAAGAAATGGGAAAGATTTGGCCATAAGGGCCTGATTTTGAGTTTATATACCTCTCTCCAAATGACGCCGTTTTGGGGAGAGGTATTTGTGTAATTTCATAATAGTAAAACCCTTTCCGCAACCCCTCTAAGTTTGTACTCTTTGCAATTTAGTCACTGAAAGCAATTTCAGAACGTTTTAATTTGGTATTTATAAATATTTAGGGTAAATAATATGATTAGTCCCTTATAATTTTTATAATTTATAATTAAATAAGGCTAAATTACATTATTAGCACTTAGATTTTTTTATTCGAGTTAGAGCCTTTAATTTTAATAATTATTATTTTATTCACTGATTAATAATTAAGGAATAATTAAAATATTAGTAATTATATTTTTATAATAATTCGAATTAGGTTCATTAATTTTGATAATTTACATTTTAATCTTGTTGTTTAATTTTATTTAATTGCAAATTTTTTTATTATCTTTTTGCTTTCAATATGTTTAAATTATTACTTTAATTATTATTTTATATAAATATATATATATATTTGTTTAAATAATAATATTTATTTATTTTTTAATATTAAATAAATGGGTTATCTTAAAGCAACTAGAAGTCATTTTCTGATATTCTTAAATAAATAAATTGTGTTCAAATTTCATCTTACTAAAATTAATAAATTATTACTTAGAAATGTTTAATTATATACTTGGGAATTCCCCATTCTGCATAAAATCACAAGTTCATTTAGAACTGAAAGCAATCAGAGGATCATGAAATTCATTCATGAAGTGGAAAATATGTGTTCAAATTTCATCTTACATGCAAATTGTGATAATGAAAACCATATATTCTATATAAATTATTTAAAATTCAATATGATTATATATTTGAAAGACAAAAACATGAACTTCAAAGTTCAAACTTGCAATAAGATATTTCTAATTCACAACTAAATAGGCATATAAATAAATTTGAAAAATAATAATGAATGTATATGTTTTACCACACAAATTATAATATTTTTTAAATGCAAGTTCCCAAATGCAACCTTAACAACTGGGGGGGGGACACCTTTTTTCTTCCTCCTCCCTCCATTGTGTATGTCTTTCCAGTTCCCGTCTGGCCATATGCAACGATAGTGCAATTATAACCCTCAAGAACTTCATTCACAATTGGAGAAACAGCTAGACCAAATAACTCCGGCTGAGACGATGGACCAAAGACCTATAAAAAAAATCTCCAACATTATAAATTGACGCATAAATTTTCAAATCCTTCTTTACCTTTTCAAAACCCCCCAAAAAATCAACTTTGAAACCCATCAACATTTCCCCAAGAACCAAACAATTATTAGTAAAAAAACACAATTTAACCTCCATTCGCTAAGAAAAATGAATTTAAAACAAAAACGCAACCTTATCAAAAAGAAAGGTCCTATCAATTTGCTTATTACCAATACTCTGTACCATGGTTTTCAGAATCGGACCGGTTAGCGAATCGGTCATGTTATCGGTTTACTGGTTCAACCGGTCGAACCGGTCCGATCGGTCGAAAAAACCGGACGACGTCATAATTATTTAAAAAATTAAATAAAAATACTAAAAATATTTAATAAAAAGTAATTTTTTATATAACAAGTCATATTCAAAGCAAGTCATAACATATATAAGTTAAAAATCATAAAATCAAGTGAAACAAAATGATTCAAATTAACTACAACATAATATTTAAGGTAAAACATATTAAATAATAAATATAATTATATAACTATAATTAAAAAATAAATTTGGGGTTAAAAAAAACATAACAAAATGATATTGTTTGGTTTAATTTTTTTTTAAACAATCTCACATGGCTAAGAAACATAGAAGAGTATCCCAAAAGTTAAAGAGTAAAAATATGAGAACAAAACAATCTCACATTGCTAAGAAACATAGAAGCGCATCACAACTAACTTCTATAAATAATAGAGGTAATTTGACATTCAAAATCATAGAGCCTTTTGGTGAGCATTAAGTGAACTATTCTTTCACTTCAATCAAGCTCGAATTTTAGGCTTCAATCGAGCGTCTAATTTTTTTTTTGAGTTCAAGCCTTTTTGAGTTCAAGTTTCAATATTATATTTCGAGTTTGAGTTGAACTTGATAATTTTTAGCTTGTGAGTTTGAGTTGAGTTGAGCTTACTTTTAAAGTTTTCAAGTTCAAGTCGAGCTCAACAATACTCGAGTTCGACTTGGCTCGTTTAACAAACGACGTTGTTTGGTTTAATTTTAAAAAAAAAAAACAAAAATCCCAGTTTTGCCAATTTTTTCCGGTTTTTTCCGGTTTTCAGCCGGTCCGGTTCGAACGGTTCAGCAGTTCTAGCCGGTTCACTAATAGCGGTTCAACCAGTTTAGATTGAACCGGACTAAACAACGATTCTCGATTAAACCGATTGAACCGACAAGTCCGGTCTGATTTTCAAAACAGAGCTCTGTACAGCACAAACTTCTCTTCTACTTTCATTACACGATACCACCACCGGAGTATTTATTCTCGCTTCATCTTCACTTAGTGTCCTACAAGGGGGATAAATTGTCATTATTGATTTCATACATTTAACTAAACACTAACTGGAAAATAAAAAGAGGAGAAACTGACCTGCATCGTAAAATAACCTGAACGTTAACACCTTTATCTTTGTCATATTTGGAGCTTGAATTGGAATCGGCTGATCGCAGATCTCGCACTGATTTATCGTTTGAACGTGGCGTTTGCGATGGAGACAGCGATACCAGTCCTCCTCCTCTTTTTTGCTGCTGTGTAGATTCCATTGCAGATAGCGGTAACAACTCTGCGATTCAAAGCACTGTGTAACTACACTGAGTAAACTCGGATTCAGTGAAAATGACGTGGTATTTACCTCAAGATTTAAATGCATATACGTTTCTTAAATGAATCTAAAACTTTTAAGTACATTCGCTGACTGAAGAAAAGCTGAAACTCAGTGAGTTAGCACGACACAATGTATCATTAATTCAGTCAAATAATATCAATTTTTTTAATAAATAGAAACAAAAAAGAAAGAGTAAACTACACACAGATTTGGGGGGTGAAGATATTTTACCTCTTCAGTGTAAAAAATGAAAAACAAAAACAAAAATGTGATTGAAAATTTGTATACAGATTTGGATCGTAATCACCGATTTAGAGTTTCAAAATATTAAACAAAAAGAATCGACGATGAATATCGATTAAAAGGAAACTTACAGTGTAAATAAATGCCGGCGTGCTGAAAAGAAATTTAAATGGCAACTCTAAGCTCAGAGTTTTAATGTGTAGAGAGAGAGAAATTGAGAGAGAAGTGACGGAGCCCGGAACTATTGGTTCGATTTTGACGGCGTTAATATGGATAGTGCAGGAACGGCAACGAAGTATGGGGAAGGTTAAGTTAACGGCGTTAGAGGAGATCCGTTCATCGTAATATCCGACCGTTATAAATGGAAACGAAAAGCTAAAAGCCAACGAGATAATAGGAATCCTCTTGAAATATATATGAATGAACGTGCAGACATATATAGGGTAAAGTACATAAATAGTTCCTTAAAAGTTATAAAATTATTTTCTAATCATAGGATGTTGTTTTATTAAGTCATTCGACTATTAAAAGTTACAAAATGGTTACTCTACTACTTATATGTTCCAAACTCATCTTTTTTCGTTAAAAAATTAACAATAATCTGAGTTGAACGTTAACACGTTGATTGTGATATTATAGTTGTTTAAGATTCTAGGATCATATTTTATCATATCAGACTCAGTAGATTAACGTTCAGCTTAGATTATCGTCAAATTTTTAACGGAAAATGACAAGTTTAGAACATATGCGGGTGACCATTTCATAAATTTTAATAGTTGATGTACTCAAGGAAGCAACACCATGTAGTTGTAGGATCATTTTATAATTTATAATAGTTAACGGACTTAGTAAAACAATATCTTACAGTTGGAGCACCGTTTATGTACTTTACCCACATATATATAGAGTGGTGGAGCTAAACATTAATTATTGAGGGCCATTTTAAATATATATATATATATATAATTAAAATATTTTAGCACTTTTACTAATATAAATTTTATATTAAAATATTATATTAATAAAAAATTATAAAATTTAGAATTTATTGGTTCACATAAAAATTTAAAGAAACAATATTCATCTAATATTTTGTGTTTGCCTGTAATTTCACCGACTTATAACATATAACCATAAACATATATTAATTTAATTTCATACTAATTTCACATGATATACAAATTTAATAAATTTTAAATTTATATTTATAAAATCAAAATATTTAGAGATATTTTAAATATATATATAAATTTGTGTCTAATTTTTTATTTTTAGAGATAGAAAATTCATGAGCCTACATAATAAATATATATATATATTTAAAATAAAATTATAAATATTAATTTAATTGAAAATATTTTAAAAATAATTGCCTCCAATTAAAACGAAATACTTGATAACTTGATTGAAGTCCTCAACTCAAAAAAATGTAGAACCAAACATAAAAATACAAATAATTTTTTATATCATAAAATAAAAAATAACAAAGAAAATATATTTTTATTTATTTAAAAAATAAAATAATAATAACAAATTGTTGTGCTTGATGAAGCTCTATCGATCAATCGAAATATGCTAAGATGTGGTGAACTGACAATTTAAAGTTCGAAGTAATGAGTATTAAGATAGGAAAATTTGCACAATGATTTATAGTGTTTCAACTCTCTCAATGAAGTCTACATCCACTACCTAAGCTCCTCACTTAGGATTTTCCAATAAATCTACTAATTTGTTCTTTCTTTTTCAAGGATAAAGAGATAATCTTTACAAACTCTCTAGCTTTTCAAAGGATTGACTAGAACCAAAAACCCCTTTACAAAGGAAAAGAATTGTAAACAGGAAAACCTCTAAAAATGAAGGTGTTTACAAATAAAAACTTTTCTCTTGTGTTTGATTGCTTGGATAAGTGTTGTGTTACTTCTTCACGTGGCTTGAACTTGTTTCTATATGTTGGAATGAGTTACTAGCCGTTTATAGACGTTGGAAGACTTTCTGCACACAAAGTTTCGAAAATATGGGAAAGTTTCGAAACTCTTCGAAAAAGTTGTTGGAAGAATATGACCGTTGGAGCCAAAGTATCGAAACTTTAGGGAAAGTTTCGAAACTCTTGAAAAATATCGAGACTTTTTGGGAAACTGTCTTGGAAATTTCGAAACTCTTATAGAAGTTTCGAAATTTCTGGTCAAAATGCTCATTTTAAGGTTTTGATTAGACTTTGAATTATTTTTGAAAACTTTGAATAAATTCAATTTAGTCCAACAAACATTTTTCCCGTATTTGTTATATCAAAATATAAGTTCTACAATCTCCCCTTTTTGATATAACAAAACCTTTGAAAAAAAGGTTTTTGAAAAAAAGCTTCCCCTTATTAAAACATTTAATGAAAAATATAATTATTAGGAAAATATTAAAGCTCCCCCTTTTCATTCTTGAAATTGAATTTTTCAAACCTATACTTCTCCCCCTTTTTGTTATATCAAAAATAATTCAAACTTTTAAGGTACAAAATAACAATGGAAAAATCATTTGAAAAATCAAAAGCTCCCCCTCAACAAATGCATTCAAAAAAAATTGACTTTAAAAGCTTGACACTTAAAAGACATTGAATCTCAACAAAGATGAAAGAACATGATAGTAGCACATAAAATTCAATATATCAAAATCTAATATACTTTATGCAATACCAATTGTTGTATTTAAGTGCATGTGCATAAGGCTATCCAAAAATGTGATGCATTTGAAAAATTAATATCAATTGTTAGAGAGATATCATTTGCAAGTAAGAACATATGCATAAACAACCAAAATGACACCAATTGAAAAAGAGTTTTTTAATTTTTTTTTTATCAAATTTGGCATCATAAGGTTAAAGTGATTCCAAATGTTAAAACTATTCAATAAATCAAGGATATTACTTGTTTTAAAAATACTTTTCAATAAAGGCACAATAAGATCAAGATATTTTGAAGAATTTATTAAAACATTAAAGTTTAACTTGACCAAAAAAATATTATGATGAACTACCTAAAAAATTTACTTCAAAAACATATTCATCATAATATTTTTTTTCAATATACATGATATAATAAACAACGTGTAACCATTCATGTTCAATACTCATGCATGTATAAAACAAAATAGGCAACCAATTATGCAAAATCAAAATAAGCTTAGAGGTTACTCATCATTCTTTTGAAGTGTGGTTAGAGCATTTAAATTTCTTCACTTTTATCATCATTGTTCCCACACACCTACAAGAGACATTTGTTTGGAATTTGGTATCCAAATTGCTTTGGATCCTTGAACATTAGTTTCAATGCCCCTTATTCCCTTTGGAACTCATACTTGTCTAATTTTAAAATGTTTTACTTTCTTTAAAGGATAAACATGTTCCAAATGGCCATGAAAATGACATTGTGAGCGTTTTTTCATTTTTAAACTAGATGAATTATTTAAAAAGAATTCTTTTTCTTTTGTTAAACATTTAAGCTTAACGTTTAAATCAAAAGTTTCTTTTTCAAAATTTTCAATTTTCATTTTTGAAAGCACTAAATCATTTTTCAAAATTTCATTTTGTTTTTCAAAATACATTTTAGCTTTCAAAAGAAAATCATTTTCAACTTTAAATTTTGAAATCAATTTCTTGTATTTGGAGTTCATGGTCTAAAACTCCAAAAATAATTCATCATATACATCTTGTAACTCATTAAAAGAATATGAATTAGATTCACTAAAGTTAGAAGATACCATGGGCTCTTCAAGAGCCATTAAGCACGCTGCATTTGGAGGTTATTCTTTTTTGTCACCGTGAAGTTCTGCGAGCTTATTCGAAATCTCATTGCCATTTTTACAAGAAGAAACGCCTTCATAGACATCAAGACCAAATGCACAAAACAACTGTAGACACCCGTTTACAGGCCCAATACAAGCATTCCAAGTACAAATTACAAGCCCAGCAGCTGAACCAGGCCTACCATATGTAGATCCAACATAAAAACGGAACTAGACTCGAGGCCCACAACTTGACCCGGATCCAGATCCAAATCAGTGGTCCAATCATCTAAAATTAGGGTTTTTAAACCCTAACCTTAAAACAAGTTATCAGCACCGCCAGTGACCATCCAGATTCCCACCGCCGAGCAAAGTCACCGCCGAACAAAGCCACCGCCGAATGTTTCTAGAAGCCATCCAAAGCTACCATCGTCATCACCTATGTCAAGCAGCAATCGAAATAAACCAAAAATTAAACCATAAACTAAATCCATTTTTTAACCAAATGAAATCTTAGAAATTAGGTATTCCACCTTATCATCATTCTAGTGGAAAACCCACTACACCACTCAAGATACCACTAAAAAAACGACCACATGCAACCATAAAAGGAGGCCATTTGAACAGAAAAAATACAGAAACATTTCGAGGAGGATTCGAACATAAAAAGAAAAGAAAAACAAAGGAGAAGAAGGACGAGAGATTTTACTTGAGTTCGAAGACTGTGGAACACAAAACGCCATATTTTCCAAATCTGCCGAGAGGTATATTCTAGATCTAGAGTATTTGGGTTGTTCCGCGTGCTCTGCTGTGAGCTACGCCTGCGGTGGCCGTTTCTATTCCCCGTTGAGAGCATATCTCTCCTTCTCTCTCTTTCTGTTATTTTGAAACAAAGCAAATGAAAAATGAAGGGATAATGGCTTAAATTTGGGCCTAAATAATTGATTCAAAACGACACTGTTTTACTCTATCATTTACGTGTTTATGGTTAAAGGATAATTACCGTTTAGACATTCTGCTTATGTATTATGTTTCTTTAGTCATTAATTAAAGTAATTATTTCTTTTATTATGAACTCATGTTTTATTAATGTTGCATTCTCGTCCTTATTAACCTGTAAGTATGTGTATGTATATTTAAGCTAGAATCCTTATACAATAAATTATTTTGTACTTAAGTAGGATAGGTTTTGTTATTTCATTTCTAGTCACTGATTTAAGATATTGAATATTTTTAATATTTTTTTCTATTATATTCATAAATATTTTATTTTAGTCATTATTTAAGCAGTTTGGTTTAATTGTTATTTGGTTATTTATGTGTCTGTTAATTTCATTTTAGTCCTATACGTAATTTATTGACTATTTTCATTTTTAATACTTGTAATATTTAATATTTATGATTTTAGTTCTAGTTTATTTAAAATTATTAATCAGTCTT